TTTTCTTGTTTTTCGATAGCAAACCAGGAAGCTGTCAGCCGATCTGCGGCATTATTATTGCGAATAAAAGCTTTAGCTCTGCAAAAGCGGCCCTTGTTCGTTCTTTTCGCGCTAGTGGGAAGAACCGCCGCCATCTTGGATGTAGCATTGTTATGCGCAGTAGAGGGTGCGCAGTGCAAAACAAGGGAATTACCTTAAATAACATACGACTTGAGTTTCAGGTAAAACCAAGGTGTAGCACATGCCTAAAATATAAAACGCAACTTTCAGCCTGAATTTAAATTTGGTTTAGTTGGAAAAGAATCCAAACTGAAATAACATTGTTTATCTTCAAGATTATCGTTAAGATAAGAACTCATCACCAAACCACCAGTGGAACCCTTTATAAATTGATTTATCGGGAAATATTTTACCCCGCATTCTTCCTGTGTGCGTGCGAGCAAAGTTTTGAGACCGCCTCATTTTGCCTCAAATTTTGGTTGTTTTTAACGAAGTCGCCGACCACGAAAATTGGTTTTGTCGATTTTCTCCAAATCCAAGCGGCCTTTTAAAAAACAAACTAAACCACGTTTAGTTACTTACTTATGCCTATCTATGAACAAGATATGAGCGAAAATGATTTTTTGACTGTGGCCGCGAAATTTCGATTTTCCTCGATTTTTACTGACGTTTGCTCTTTAATGCTAAAATCGCACCAGGGATTTAAGAAATCCCAATGGGGCGTTTTTAATCAGTTAAAAAAATCGATGGTTAATTACAATAAAACAAAAAGAATGTGCGCTGCAGAGAACCCATTGAATTCAGATTAGCTCAAAGACTGGTTTACAAATCTGATAACTATATCCAAAAAAATGTTATTTTAAAAAGTGTCACAGAAACCACTGATGAAGAAATTAAACTGCACCTTCGTGGGAAAAACAAAATATTTAGTTACTTATTTGTTTATTTACAAGATTCGTCAGGCCGAGGCCTGGATAATAGAATAACTCACAGAGCAAGCTCCACTACGAGGTCAAGGAAAAAACAACAATGCCTATACATACAATAATGACAATGCACTAGAAACAACAGAAACGGCAGTAACAAACAGAATTGGGGCAAACATCGATAAAAGAATCAACAACACATTCGATCGAGAAAGCTAATCAATGGGCAACTAGTGTGGCGCTTGATGCAAACACTCTTTTAGGTCTAGGGGGCGTCGACATAGATTCAAACAAAATAGATTCGATAGAGTCGATATAGATTCAACAAAATAGATTCACAAAACAGGTTGAGACTACTCTAGATAAACTGATTGGAGCTTTATTCATCAGAGGATGATACCTTTGGCCTAACCTGAGATCAGGCTCTATTTTTTTTTTCGCTTTGAAAATTACATTCCGGCGGACAAGGCGAAACGAAAAGAGAGCCTGATAAAAACCTTTTACGAAACGTCTGCCGCCCACTTTTTTGATTGATTGACATTTGCCGAATCAGCCAACCAAAATTACTTCCGTTGCTTGTTTTTCTAGTATGCAAATTTTTCACGAGTGGGAAAAATGCAGACGGGCTGACATAAAAAGTAGTTTTTATCTGTTAATTTTTTCAGCTAAAAATAAAATAGTCAGCACAATCACATTTCACTTCTTGCGAGAGTAAGGGAGATCTCGAAGGTCATTTCTGTTTGCGGAGAAGGTAAAAAGTTTTCGAAAAAACGGCGACACGATGTTCCACTTAGTTTTATTATTTTGGCTTGGCGCGCTCGAATTTAAAATACTGAAATTTCTATTTTTCAGTTACCTTAATATTTTCCTCGGCAATTTTCCCGGATTTTCAGTACATAAATCTTTAAAAACAAAAGCAAACAGCCAATGAGCGAGGACACCAGTTTTCCTGGTTTATATTTTACAAAAAGCGAAGGCAAACAACCAGTCTGTTATCTTAAGCCACCAGCTTTTATAATAACGCCTACAAAAATTCCTTGAACAGCGATGCGATATTTTTCGTCTAATACTTCACATTTGGCGATTGAGGTTTCTTTCGCAGTGAGCCTCCGCTTGCGTACCCCGTTCAGAGAAGTCATTCCAGGCTAAACTTTCAGATGAAACCAGTTTTAAGATGGACAGTATTTTGATTTGCACTCGTTTGTTGGTAAATCAAAAGGCACCTTGTTAGCGGTCAACAACTTGCAGAGGGACTCAACTCCGCGATACACTCACATTAGTTCCGTTAATGAAGCAAATCCTGAGAATATATGAACAACCATATGATTTTTCTGAATTTCCATGGCACATATTAAGGCATATTTTTCTACCATAAGATCATAAAACAATAAAAAAGACAGCAAAATCGATCCTTCCCTCCGCCGACGACGGATCATTCACGAAAACAACCACGCGAGGAATAAGCGCTTTCAACTTCCGGCGTTTCCGACAGCCAATCAGATCTTGTGGCATTGTTCTAACAGCCAATCAGCGTTACGGCCAAAATCTGGCCGTAACGAGCACAAACGTGAGAGAGTTTGTATCAGGCCCAATTTTACGGTAGCCGTTAGAGAGAATGTATGAGAACCGCTAAAATTGGGCCTGATCTCAGGTTACCTTTGGCTGTGCCTGATAGGCTGTCTAACAATCAGAGAGCCATACTCAATCTTCCGTTGTATACTGTACCTAAGGCCGGAAGGGGATAATCAGGCCACTGAATGCTAAAGATTTCCAACGAATATGCAAAGTACCTGTAAACGGAGAAATTCATGAACTAGTAAATTATTGAAAAAAGAAAGCCAGCTAGAAAAGATAAGGTTTAAAATTTAAATCGGTGTCTGTTTTTGAGAAAACCCTTTGAAATTATTAATGCAGGACTAAAATCTGTTTTTTGCCGCTTAGAAAGGACAAACGTAAGTCAAACGCTGATCCCACAAAGGCGATATTCCGACATTATTAGGTGGAGAACGGAACACTTCCCGTCATGATTAAACGGATTATTATGCAAAGTCGTCACCTGTTCTTGGGAAAAGGAAATTGAATATATAATGTATAATTATATATATTTCTTTCAATTTCCTTTTCCCAAAAACAGGTGAAGACTTTGCATAGTAATCCGTTTAGTCATGACAGGAAGTGTCTTAAATTTGAGTCCATTCCGCTGAAAGTTTTTGCGGAATGGACTCAAAGTTTACTCTGGAAGTAACTTTAAAATAATCCCTTTCAGTTGAAGCAATTTTGAATGGGTTTTTTTAACTGTTCAAGCTTTTTATTAAATTTTGATAGCTCTTCATTCAATTTTTTTTCTTTCTAAAGTAAAGCTAACTAAGAGAGGGCTTATCAATATTTTGTTTCACTCAGAAGATTGATGAAAGCCATCAAAGCATTAATAAAAGAAAAATCCATCAATTATATAAAATAATGCAAAATTAGTAGATATTAGTCCCTCTGTCATCTATTTGTGGTACAAACTAAGAGCAAGTTTACACGGTTATTTAGAACAGCTACAATAAACCCTTTGTGATGGCAGCTCTAGGCCTGATTATGCAGTTAATAATAATAATATTAATAATAATTATAAAAGCTTTATTTATACTGGGGATATCTATCAGCATTACACAACGCTGGTCTGCGGCATGCGATCTGAGTCATCGGACGTGCTGAATCTGAATCTACTTTCCCGACCATTGCGACGCTGCTGCCGAACAAGAAAATGCTTGATGAAAACGTTTTATTTTCCGGCATAGCCTGAGACCAGGACCCTTGGTGGCGAAAATAGAGAAAGAGGCTAGTTTAAGGCCCACTTCCCCTCTACCCGTCTCCCCCGAAGTTTAGCCCTCTTTTCCTCCCGGCAAACGGAGAGCCTCAGCTCACAGGCCAGTCGGTTTTCGTACGATGCTTTTTCTTAAACATGTGATACTTTTTGACATTTCTTTAGCGAATATCACCTCATCAGCTATAGTCGGGGACCGGATAATCCTTGGCATTTCAGGCCCTGATCTTTGCCATTTTCGTACCAAAACCAAATAAAACAAAATAAGTAAGCTGTGCCTCTCTGACTGAGGTATTTTTGATCGTCTGGGATATGTCCCACGCATAAGGGCTCGCGGACCATTAATGGCAACCAGGTTTTAATTGGCAATTAAAATGCATGCGGGACTTTTCTGATATATTATTCTGTTGACTCAGTTGCCTTTTAGGTTAAAACGGTTGACTCGATCATTAACGAAGCATACGCTTAGGTTTTGCATTAAAAATATGCTTCATTGCTTTTGGAAGATAGTACTAAATAACTTTATTGTTTTCCCGTCACTTTTTTCTTTTTAATTCGGAAATAGACAACTTTCAACACAAGGGAAACATGCTAATATTGTATTACGTTCTTTAAATCGTATATGCGAGATAGTTAATGTGGTGCTCATACATTAGCGAAAGGTGCTTTTCTTCACGCTCTACCTACAATGTCTTCTTGAACTGAAAGCTCGATCGGAGTTCATATGCACTTTCTTCCAAGAACGAACTAAACCTCTGACAACTTTTCATTTCCGTCCTAATAATTTTTTTTCTGATAGTCATTTTAACCGCCGGGTAATTTCCAGCCGAAAATAATTTGTTTCACACTGTCTTAATAACAAGTTCTATGAGCACAAAACAGAAATTAAACGAGACCAATAGACCTCCCTCTAAGAGATGTAAGTAAATGATTTCATCTCATCCTTCTAAATGGACGCGTTCGGTGCCTCAAGGCTTTCCAATTAATTCTTATATTCAAATTAGTTTGCACTTTAAAGAAAGTTTGTGACACACCTGCTGTCAAAAATGACAGGCCGAGAGAAATAAAAGTTAACAGTCTGTGTTGATAAGGTTGGCGTTTCTTTGGTTGCAAGCGAGTGAACGGCCGGTACGTGTTCAGTTAAGGAAGGAAGCATAACGTAGGCGAAGTTTGATCGAGGAATGTTTAAATCCATGATTTCGTCCGCTAGCATTAACTATCAACAGTACCAAAGGAACTGACATATTTCTACCAATTAGGCAATGGCAAACGCTGAGGAAATTTCATCGCTATTGGTAGTCATTTTAAACATTTTCTCTTCTTATACTGCAGTCACGCTGAACGTTATAACCATACATGTGTTGAGAAAAATTTCTTCGTTGCCGAAGCCTGTAAGAATATTACTATTGAGTCTTGCTGTTTCTGATCTTGCTGTTGGATTAATTGTGCAACCTATATCCATAGCAAGGCTAATAACTCAAAACACTGATACTTTCCAGTTTAAGAAGACATCTGAGGTGTTTGGGATTTGTTTTACTGCAGCCTCATTTTTAAATATAACAGCTTTAGGCGCCGACAGATTCTTGGCCATTCACCTTCATCTTAGATACCAGGAACTTGTAACTCGCAGGCGTATTGTCACTGCAGTCATCACGATCTGGGTGTTCAGTGCAACTGTTTCTCTATTTGATCTCTGGGACAGAATGATAACGGCTGCTCAAGCTACTCTCCTTGCGATTGTTATAGTCTGTTTTATTTCTGCAACATTCTTTTATTGCAAGATCTACTTAACAGTGCGTCATCTCACAAACCAAATTCATACACTGCAGGTGCAACAAGAATCACAAAACGGTGAGAGCACTTCGCAGAACACAGCAAGGCAGAGAAAATCTGCGATCGCTACATTTCATGTATATATCGTCTTTTTTTTATGTAATCTCCCATATTATTCTATTAATATTGCAAACAGGTTATCTGGTCGTGAAACAAGTGATTCAGAGGAAATTCTAATCGACTATACTCAGACCCTAGTCCATCTGAATTCTTCACTGAATCCGCTCATCTACGCGTGGAAGATGAGACCGATTCGACACGCTATTATGGAAATACTGCGAAACATATTGTCAAAACACTGCTGTTGATAGTGGAGGATGTTAGAGTTCTGCGTATTCGAGGTTATTCCGAAACTAAACCCCCGGGCTTATATTTTTCAAAGGCCCTTTTTGAGGGGCGTATTTTTGGAGCGGCTTATTTGCTTGGGGAAATTTGCGTTTCAAAATCGATTGGGCTAGCCTTGTAGTTGGAAGAAAATTTACCCTTTTTACTTTAGTTTACTTTGTATTTGAAGGAGCGATTTAACGGAGGGTTTTTTGCGTTACGAGTTTGGGGACCTTCTATTTGAAGGGGCTTTATAGAGGGGCTTATTTTCAGAATTTTAACGGTATTATATTTCAGATCAGTTCTTTTAGCAGACTCCTCAACGTTGCGTGTAATATGTAATAAACGAGCATCAAGTCTAGTAGAGGAGGAGCAGCTAATGGTCTAATTTTATCCCTGCAAAAGCTACATTTTAGATAATATATTCTCTTTATTCTAAGCCAAGCTGGTGCATTATATTGACAATAGGTGAAAATAAAAGAAAGTTAATTAACATTTAGTCGAGGCCATGTTGGTTGATTATAGAAACTTACTATACATAAACTCAGATGCTTTGCATATCGGTTGTGGTTCATTTTATCCTTAGTTTAATTTGTTTTACTTTGCTTCAAAGTAATTGACTGACATATTTTACCATACCCAAAAACAAAGAAAAATAAAATTTAGACTACGGATAACACTAAAACACAACAGATATACCGATTATTTCATAAAATATTAATGAATGCACCTTTGAAAGTTGTATAATGATTTCCATTCACTTGACAGAACTGTCATTCATAGAAGGATAAAATAAAATTTTAGAAAAGTAGAAAAGTAAGTATTGACTTTCTTACAAATTTTTGTGATGGGCTTCTAATACCCGGAAGGATCCGTTTGTTAGAAACCAATAGTTTTAGGCCATTGTTGCTCAGCTTTCCTAACAAAAAGTTCCTGACGGAGGATGCTGTGGTCAAAATGCTGAATGCAGACATTTATGTCACTGAGGAATATCAAGCTTTTTATTAAATTTTGATAGCTCTTCATTCAATTTTTTTTCTTTCTAAAGTAAAGCTAACTAAGAGAGGGCTTATCAATATTTTGTTTCACTCAGAAGATTGATGAAAGCCATCAAAGCATTAATAAAAGCAAAATCCATCAATTATATAAAATAATGCAAAATTAGTAGATATCATTCCCTCTGTCATCTATTTGTGGTACAAACTAAGAGCAAGTTTACACGGTTATTTAGAACAGCTACAATAAACCCTTTGTGATGGCAGCTCTAGGCCTGATTATGCACTTAATGATAATAATAGTAATAATAATAATAAAAGCTTTATTTATACTGGGGATATCTATCAGCATTACACAACGCTGGTCTGCGGCATGCGATCTGAGTCATCGGACGCGCTGAATCTGAATCTACTTTCCCGACCATTGCGACGCTGCTGCCGAACAAGAAAATGCTTGACGAAAACGTTTTATTTTCCGGCATAGCCTGAGACCAGTACCCTTGGTGGCGAAAATAGAGAAAGAGGCTAGTTTAAGGCCCACTTCCTCTCTACCCGTCTCCCCCGAAGTTTAGCCCTCTTTTCCTCCCGGCAAACGGAGAGCCTCAGCTCACAGGCCAGTCGGTTTTCGTACGCTTTTTTTTCTCAAACATGTGATACTTTTTTATATTTCTTTAACGAACATCACCTCATCAGCTATAGTCGGGGACCGGATAATCCTTGGCATCTCAGGCCCTGATCTTTGCCATTTTCGTACCAAAACCAAATAAAACAAAATAAGTAAGCTGTGCCTCTCTGACTGAGTTATTTTTGATCGTCTGGGATATGTCCCACGCATAAGGGCTCGCGGACCATTAATGGCAACCAGGTTTTAATTGGCAATTAAAATGCATGCGGGACTTTTCTGATATATTATTCTGTTGACTCAGCTGCCTTTTAGGTTAAAACGGTTGACTTGATCATTAACGAAGCATACACTTAGGTCTTGCATTAAAAATATGCTTCATTGCTTTTGGAAGATAGTACTAAATAACTTTATTGTTTTCCCGTCACTTTTTTCTTTTTTATTCGGAAATAGACAACTTTCAACACAAGGGAAACATGCTAATATTGTATTGCGTTCTTTAAATCGTATATGCGAGATAGTTAATGTGGTGCTCATACATTAGCATACACAATGTCTTCTTGAACTGAAAGCTAGATCGGAGTTCATATGCACTTTCTTCCAAGAACGAAATAAACCTCTGACAACTTTTCATTTCCGTCCTAATAATTTTTTTTCTGATAGTAATTTTAACCGCCGTGGAATTTCCAGCCGAAAATAACTTGTTTCACACTGTCTTAATAACAAGTTCTATGAGCAAATTAAACGAGACCAATACACCTCCCTCTAAGAGATGTAAGTAAATAATTTCAACTCATCCTTCTAAATGGACGTGTTCGGTGCCTCAAGGCTTTCCAATTAATTCTTATATTCAAATTAGTTTGCACTTTAAAGAAAGTTTGTGACACACCTGCTGTCAAAAATGACAGGCCGAGAGAAATAAAAGTTAACAGTCTGTGTTGATAAGGTTGGCGTTTCTTTGGTTGCAAGCGAGTGAACGGCCGGTACGTGTTCAGTTAAGGAAGGAAGCATAACGTAGGCGAAGTTTGATCGAGGAATGTTTAAATCCATGATTTCGTCCGCTAGCATTAACTATCAACAGTACCAAAGGAACTGACATATTTCTACCAATTAGGCAATGGCAAACGCTGAGGAAATTTCACCGCTATTGGTAGTCATTTTAAACATTTTCTCTTCCTATACTGCAGTCACGCTGAACGTTATAACCATACATGTGTTGAGAAAAATTTCTTCGTTGCCGAAGCCTGTAAGAATATTACTAATGAGTCTTGCTGTTTCTGATCTTGCTGTTGGATTAATTGTGCAACCTCTAGCCATAGCAACGCTAATATCTCAAAACACTGATACTTTCCAGTTTGACAAGACATCTGAGGTGTTTGGGATTTGTTTTACTGCAGCCTCATTTTTAAATATAACAGCTTTAGGCGCCGACAGATTCTTGGCCATTCACCTTCATCTTAGATACCAGGAACTTGTAACTCACAGGCGTATTGTCACTGCAGTCATCACGATCTGGGTGTTCAGTGCAACTGTTTCTGTATTTGATCTCTGGGACAGAATGATAACGGCTGCTCCAGCTACTCTCCTTGCGATTGTTATTGTCTGTTTTATTTCTGCAACATTCTTTTATTCCAAGATCTACTTAACAGTGCGTCATCTCACAAACCAAATTCATACACTGCACGTGCAACAAGCATCACAAAACGTTGAGAGCACTTCGCAGAACACAGCAAGGCAGAGAAAATCTGCGATCGCTACATTTTATGTATATATCGTCTTTTTGTTATGTAATCTCCCACATTATTCTATTAATATTGCAAACAGGGTATCTCGTCGTGAAACAAGTGATTCAGAGGAAACTCTAATCATCTATACTCAGACCCTAGTCCATCTGAATTCTTCACTTAATCCGCTCATCTACGCGTGGAAGATGAGACCTATTCGACACGCTATTATGGAAATACTGCGAAACATATTTTCAAAACATTGCTGTTGATAGTGGAGGATGTTAGAGTTCTGCGTATTCGAGGTTATTCCGAAACTAAACCCCCGGGCTTATATTTTTCAAAGGCCCCCGGGGGGGGGCTTATATTTGGAGGAGCGATTTAACGGAGGGTTTTTTGCGTTACGAGTTTGGGGGCCTTCTATTTGAAGGGACTTTATAGAGGGGCTTATTTTCAGAATTTTAACGGTATTATATTTCAGATCAGTTCTGTTGGCAGACTCTTCAACGTTGCGTGTAATATGTAATAAACGAGCATCAAGACTATTAGAGGAAGAACAGCTAATGGTTTAATTTTATCCCAGCAAAATCTACATTTTAGATAATATTTATTCCGTTTATTTATTCTCTTTATTATTCTAAGCCAAGCTGGTAGATTATATTGACAATAGGTGAAAATAAAAGAAAGTTAATTAACGTTTAGTCGAAGCCATGTTGGTTGGTTACAGAAACTTACTATACATAAACTCAGATGCTTTGCATATTAGTTGTGGTTCACTTTATCCTTGGTTTAATTTCTTTTACTTTGCTTCAAAGTAATTGACTGAGATATATTACCATACCCAAAAACAAAGAAAAATAAAATTTAGACTACGGATAACACTAAAAAACACAACAGATATACCGATTATTTCATAAAATATTAATGAATGCACCTTTGAAAGTTGTATATGATTTCCATTCACTTGACAGAACTGTCATTCATAGAAGGATAAAATAAAATTTTAGAAAAGTAGAAAAGTAAGTATTGACTTTCTTACAAACTTTTGTGATAGGCTTCTAACACCCGGAAGGATCCGTTTGTTAGAAACCAATAGTTTTAGGCCATTGTTGCTCAGCTTTCCTAACAAAAAGTTCCTGACGGAGGATGCTGTGGTCAAAATGCTGAATGCAGACATTTATGTCACTGAGGAATTATCTCTACTATAAAAATTAATTATCTCATTAAGTCAGGGGTTTCAANACCCGGAAGGATCCGTTTGTTAGAAACCAATAGTTTTAGGCCATTGTTGCTCAGCTTTCCTAACAAAAAGTTCCTGACGGAGGATGCTGTGGTCAAAATGCTGAATGCAGACATTTATGTCACTGAGGAATTATCTCTACTATAAAAATTAATTATCTCATTAAGTCAGGGGTTTCAATTTAAAACGTTGAACATGTACTTTTTATCATTTCTATGGCCAGGCCATCGAGACTCTATCGACAATCAGCGCTTACTGATAATTAAATGGCAGGGTTATTGCTAAGAAAAAATAAACTATCGCTTTTCTTGTTTGGATAAGATTTAGATAGAAAACAGGCCCTTCCTCGCCCCCTTTGTCATTAAACAGCTATTCCAATGCAATGCACTTTTTCCAAGATTTCTTTTGTCGCCTTTAATTCTTAATCATGTGTAAAATATATGTATCCGACATTTATTTTCGCCATAAGTCTTGCAAAATCTTTTTTCGTCTTACAGTTCGGAGCTGTTCGGATTCGCAAGAATGTCAACAATGATTTACAAGATGGCAGCAAATAAGAATTAAGGCTTGTCGTTGTCGACAACACCCAATCATCTTCGAAATCTCCATTTAGTTAGCTATACATTTGTTACGGTTGGATACATAGCCTAATTCCTCAAAACACAAGGCAATGACCAGAGTTGGATAAAAAGCAGTTTTCGGACGACCGAAGAATTTAAGAATCCGAATTTTTAATTAAACTCACTCTAAGGAACAAAATCAGTTTAACAATTTTTTTTATCATATCCGTTGACTTTCACGGCTCATTGCTTCCATTCATGAACATATTTAAATCATAAGTTTGTCAGTATATAACAAACCGGTAATTAACGGTTTAAAGTCACAGTGAAGTTGAAATCTCTTGAGAACGTAAGGCGATACTGCGGACTTCGCGCTGGATTATTGATGCAGCTGCTATATTGTTTGTTGTCGTAGAACCTAGACTCCTTCTTCTAACATCGTGAATTCTATTTCTATCCACGCTTCTACAATACAACAGAGCCTTGATTTGATTTCTAAAGCGAGGATTGACATAGGCATAAATGAATGGATTGACGGTGGAATTGCACGTGACCAACATGATGGAAATGATATCTGCCGCGTCTCCGAGGTTGTGCTTTGAGCTAAAGTGGATCAGTGCGTAAATG